GCTTTTCTTCAGCGGACAGGGAAGATGGCTAAAATTGATGGGAAGAAGGATGGAGCCCAAATACAGGACCATTCTGAAGAAAACCTGTTGGAGTCTGCAAAAGACCTGAGACTGGACGGAGATTTATCTTCCAACAGGACAATGATCCAAAACATAAAGCCAAATCTACAATGGAATGGTTCACAAATAGACGTATCCAGGTGTTAGAATGGCCAAGTCAAAGTCCAGACCTGAATCCAATCCAGAATCTGTGGAAAGAGCTGAAGACTGCTGTTCACAAACGCTCTCCATCCAACCTCACTGAGCTCGCAGCTGTTTTGCAAGGAAAATGGGCAAGAATTCCAGTCTCTCGATGTGCAAAACTGATAGAGACATACCCCAAGCGACTTGCAGCTGTAATTGCAGCAAAAGGTGGCGCTACAAAGTATTAGCGCAAGGGGCCGAATAATAATGCACGCCCCACTTTTCAGTTTTTAATTTGTTAAAAAATGTTAAATTATCCAATACATTTTGTTCCACTTCACGATTGTGTCCCACTTGGTGATTCATGAAAAAAAAATTAAATTTTATATCTTTATGTTTGAAGCCTGAAATGTGGCGAAATGTTGAAAGGTTCAAGGGGGCCGAATACTTTCGCAAGACACTGTATATATGTATATATATATATATATATATATATATATATATATATATATATATTTCATTTTATTTTATGTTTTTCAAAATCGATACTAGGCAAATGCATATCGATAATCGATCGCGGGAGAAAGTATCACAATATTTTGTTACATCGATATATCGTCACACTCCTACATATCACAGTATTCTGACACACACACACACACTACTGTACAGTACTCTGAGACACACACACACATTACAGTATTCTGACACACACACACACACACGTCACAGTATTCTAAACCACACACAGTAGTTTCTTTTCTGTGCTGTACAAATAACTGTGACAGAACAGTTTGAAGGTTGTGTGTCGTTGTGTCTCACCGTATGAAGCCAGGGCCACGCCCTCAGTGTTGATCCAGGGGAACTTCTCTTTGACTTGAGACGGAGAGAGAAGAGACACTTTGGCTCCTGCATATCTACACACACACACACGCACACACACACACACACAGAGACACACACACAGACAGACACAAAGACACACACACAGACAGACACAAAGACACACACGGACACAAACACACAGACACACACACACGGACACAAACACACGGACACACACACACGGACACAAACACACACAGAGACATAGACACAGACACACAAACTAATATTAGTCACTATAATAATAATAATTGTGCATTGTATATATTGTGTTTTACCAGTATTGTAAATGCTAACTACCTCTTTCTATCTATGTATTAATTATTTGCGTATTATAAACCTTCGCTCACTTTGCCTCAGGGACAAAGGCTGAAAACTATCCATGTCCGGTCAAAACAATATAATTATTAAAAATATATAGGTGGATTTTCTACCTCCGGGTGGATCATCAAAACTACTAGTCCTCCCATTCGTCAATCATTCTGGTGATATGTGCTCGTCCAATAATAAATTAGTCTATAATCCGCAGGGAGAATAGCTGCTGTATATTTCAGGAGCTGATGGGGAATCTGAATCTCTCTCAGTGTCACACAATAATAAACCAGAGAAGCCTGCGGTGACCCCAAAACGAATACTTCTTTTTATTATTATTATTTTCAAGATTTTGATTTTATACTTGTTATTGATGCTAGAGTTAGAGATTTTGTTTTATTTTAATTAGTAAAGAGCTATTTATTCTTCATGTATCTTGTGCTGTGTGCTCCTCTTTCTTACGGTTCTATAACTTGTGATGCAACACTGTGGGAAAAATTCAGGATCTGTTCATCTTAATCTTAACCTCTGGGTCTTGTAGTTCTCCTCCATGATGTGAGCCACGTCTTCATTGGCCAAGAACAGGTATCCAGACTGGTTAAACTGCAGGTCCACGGGCTCCTCGTTCAGAACCCCCAGATGGTCCTGAGAGAGACCAGCGACAGACACCATGAGAGACACCATGTGATTCTAACATATCACGATACAGACAGTATGTGATTCTGAACATATGACGATACAGACAGTATGTGATTCTAACATATCACAATACAGACAGTATGTGATTCTAACATATCACAATACAGACAGTATGTGATTCTAACATATCACGATACAGACAGTATGTGATTCTAACTTATCACAATACAGACAGTATGTGATTCTAACATATCACGATACAGACAGTGTGTGATTCTGTGATATATCTAGATTCTTGTCCCTCATTTTATTTACAAACATGAAGGAAAATTGACTCTGACATTTTTTATGGTCTGTACATGAACTGATGCAAAACTGAAGAGTAAAATATCGATCCCACCACATAGAAGATCATGTGGCTCTTGGTCCAATACAAAAGTGGCTCTTGGTCCAAAAGTGGCTCTTGGAGTGGCTCTTGGTCCTAAAGTGGCTCTTGTCCAAAGTGGCTCTTGGTAGTGGCTCTTGGTCCAGTGGCTCTTGGCTCCAAAAGTGGTGTCTTGGTCCAAAAGTGGCTCTTGGTCCAGTGGTTCTTGGAGTGGCTCTTGGTATGTCCAAATTCTCCAAAAGTGGTTCTTGGTCCAAAAGTGGTTCTTGGTCTAAAAGTAGTTCTTGGTCAAAAAGTGGCTCTTGGTCCAAAACGTGGTTCTTGGTCTAAACAGGTGGCTCTTGGTCCAAAAGTGGCTCTTGGTCCAAAAGTGGTTCTTGGTCGAAAAGTGGCTCTTAAACCGCTTTTCCACAGTATCAGTACGGTACAGTACAGTACGCTTCAGCACGGTTATATTGCGTTTCCACTAGTGGATGGTAAGGGAGATTTGAGTACTTTTCCGTACCGCCTCAGCCGTGGTTCCATCCCCATACTACCCGTGCCATGACGTCACGTCGGCCCACTGCCTTACAATGATTGGTCAACGAGTGTCGTCACTGGAAGCGACGTCTGACCCTTTGGGAAAAACAACTCAACCTCCATCTTTAAAACAGGCTGCTCTGCTCAGCTCTGTTTCGGCTACATTACGTCCTCCTCACTCCAGAGAAATGGAATTGCACAGAAAGCCCCAGAAGTCCTGGTCCTGGTCGGTGGAAGAGGTCCACACGTTCCTCTCTTCAGGCCAAAAGAAAGAATTCAAAGGCAGCTCGAGGCTCAACACAGTTTTCAGGGAGATCACCCAGCTCTGGATTTGTGACTAGTCTGTGGTGATCCTGGAAATATCTGGTTAGCTACGAATCCCCTTAAAGCTCTCACTGAAATGTATTTACTGTGTACATGTTCGATTGTCTGTTGAACACAGTGAGCTAGCTACAATTAGCTTCATTTAGCTATCGATAGCAGCTAAGCTAACGTCCTCCCTGTGCTACTGTGCTTTATCTCGTATTATCTGCAGTATCCACGTGTTGTCATTCTGTTTTGTGCTTGTATTTAAGTTGTTGTGTGTATATTTGTATGAGAATCCCTTCCCATAAGTGTGAGGATTACCAACAAGCAATGAGTGACCGGAGTATTCTCATCTGGACCTGGTCTGGACCTGGTCTGGACCTGGTCTCTGACATACGTACTTTTGACTTTGTAAACTGTTGGTTTTGCACTTTACTTTTGTTTTCAATAAATCTGTGATTGTATCAAGACTGTGTTTCATTCATTTATTATAATTGTAGCTGAGGTTTGGGTATCGATTGTTTGTCTGGTTTCAGAGTCTGCTGGCTAGCCTAGCCTAGCCTAGCTTAGCCTTGCCTAGCCGCTAACTCGCTACCCCTATGGCTGCCGCTGTCTCTCCCTCAGTCCTTTACTGCTCGAGTTGCCATATGACGAGTTCAAACCCCGGATCCTCCTCTGAGGGTAGTGATAGATGTGTTAAGTGTAGTATAGTAGTAGCTTTGGAATCCAGGGTTAGTGAGTGAGCTCAATCTCGAGCTAGCGCTAGCATTAGCTATAGCCTAGCAGTATCCTCGGACATGCAGCCCTCCTCCTGCACACTGCTCCACAGGCAGCTGTCGCTAAAGGTCCCATTCAGATCGTACAGCGCAGTCAGCACCATTGACTTCACAGTTTCTGAGTCATTCTTTTAAGACATAAGCATTCCAAAAACTGGACTCACAACGCTGAGGACATACTGGGGGTACTATTTTTGATTGAAAAGCATGTGAACTGGGCCATGGCGCGCCGCGTAGAGTCAAAACGTACCGTACTAGGACCGTGGAAAAGCGGCAATAGTCCCCCCAGCGTGTCCTAGGTCTTCCCCGGGGCCTCCTCCCGGTGGGACGTGCCCGGAACACCTCCCTAGGGAGGCGTCCAGGAGGCATCCGGCTCAGCTCCCTCTTCACCACAACGGTCCGATACAGCGACCGCATCACTGCGCACGCTGCACCGATCCGCCTGCCAATCTCACGCTCCATCCTTCCCTCACTCGTGAACAAGACCCCGAGATACTTGAACTCCTCCACTTGAGGAAGAACTGCTCCACCTAGAGAGGGCAAGGTACCTTTTTCCGGTCGAGCACCATGGCCTCAGATTTGGAGGTGCTGATTCTCATCCCAGGGGCGACAGTAGCTCAGTTGGTAGAGCATTGGCCTTTGGGCCTGAAGGTCGTCGGTTCAAGCCCACCATAAGACCTACTTCACGACTCCCACTGATGACTACTGTCGTTGTGTCCTTGGGCAAGACACTTAACCCCACTTTGCCTGAAGCTCCCACTGAAAGATCTCAGCTCCTGTGGACTCACCACCTGCAGGAGGACCAGTGAGGGGCTGGTGCTAAGTGTACTGGGTGCAGCTCTGACTGCCACCCCCCCGACCCAGAAATGGATTAAGGGGAAGAAAATGGATGGATGGATGGATTCTCATCCCAGCCCACACTCGGCTGCAAACCATCCCAGTGCATGCTGCAGGTCCTGGGGACCAACAGGAAAACATCGTCCGCAAACAGCAGGGATGAAATCGTGTGGTCTCCAAACCGGACCCCCTCCGGCCCCTGGCTGCGCCAAGAAATTCTGTCCATAAACACAGTGAACAGAACCAGTGACAAAGGGCAGCCTTGGCGGAGGCCAACATGCACCGGGAACAGGTCTCACCTACTGCCGGCAATGGGAACGCAGCTCTGGCTCCGGTCATACAGGGACCGGACGGCCCTCAGCAGAGCACCCTGTACTCCCGGAGAACCCCCCAAAGGACACCCCGGGGAACACGGTCAAACGCCTTCTCCAAATCCACAAAGCACATGTGGACAGGTTGGGCGCACTCCCATGAACCCTCGAGTATCCAATGGAGAGTATAGAGCTGGTCCAGTGTTCCGCTACCGGGACAAAAACCACACTGCTCCTCCTGAATCTGAGATTCGACCATCGGCCGTAACCTCCTCTCCAGTACCTTGGAGTAGACCTTACCGGGGAGGCTGAGGAGTGTGATCCCCCGATATTTAGAGCACACCGTCCGGTCCCCCTTCTTGTAGAGAGGGACCACCACCCCAGTCTGCCACTCCAATGGCACTGCCCCCGAGCGCCACGCGATGACGTGTCAGCCAAGACAGTCCTAGAACATCCAGAGACTTAAGATAGTCAGGACGGATCTCATCCACTCCCGGCGCCTCGGCCAGGGAGATGGAGGTATCCGCCCCAACATCTTCAGCCTCTGCCTCTGGGACGGAGGACGTGACGGGGGGATTGAGGAGAACCTCAAAGTATTCCTTCCACCGGCCGACAATATCCCCAGTCGAAGTTAGCAACTCTCCACCGTACACGGTGTTGGCAAAGAACTGCTTCCCCCTCCTGAGGCGCCGAACGGTTTGCCAGAATCTTTTCGAGGCCGACCGATAGTCATGCTCCATGGACTCTCCGAACTCCTCCCAGTCCCGGGTTTTTGCCTCTGCAACCTCTGTCCCACGAACCATCATGGCTCGATAGGACTCCTTCTTCAGCCTGACGGCATCCCTTACTACCGGTGTCCAGCACCAGGTTCGGGGGTTACCGCCGGGACCAGCACCAGAGACCCTGCGACCACAGCAACGAGCTGCTGCATCGGCAATAGAAGAAGAGAACATGGTCCACTCAGACTCAATGTCCTCCTCCTCCGCCGGGACCTGGGAGAAGCTCTACCGGAGGTGTGAGGTGAAAGTCCGTCTGACAGGGGGCTCAGCGAGACGTTCCCAGCAGACCCTCACTACATGCTTGGGTCATCCAGGTCTGACTGGCAGGGCTTCCTCCCCTGCCAGCGGATCCAACTCACGACCAGGTGGTGTTCGGTTGACAGCTCCGCCCCTCTCTTCACCCGAGTGCCCGAGACACGTGGTCGAAGGTCAGATGATACGACAACAAAGTTGATCATCGACCTTCGGCCTAGGATGTCCTGGTGCCACGTGCACTGGTGGACACCCTTGTGCTCGAACATGGTGTTCGTGATGGACAAACTGTGACTAGCACAGAAGTCCAACAACTGAACACCGCTTGGGTTCGGATCAGGGGGACCGTTCTTCCCGATCACCCCTCTCCAAGTGTCACTGACATTTCCCACATGGACTCCAAGAAGGCCGAGTACTCTGCACTGCCGTTAGGCCCGTAGGCCGTCACAACAGTGAGAGACTTGTCCCCCATCCGGAGGCGGAGGGACGTGACCCTCTCATTCACCGGGGAGAACTCCAACACGTGGCAGCTGAGATGGAGGGCAATGAGTATGGCCACCCCCGCTCGCCGCCTCTCCCTGCGGGAAACACCAGAAAAATGGAGCGTCCAACCCCTCTCAAGGAGTTAGGTTCCAGAGCCCAAGCTGTGTGAGGAGGTGAGGCCGACTATCTCTAGTCGGTATCTCTCAACCTCCCCCACGAGCTTGGGTGACGTTCCACGTCCCAAGAGCCAGATGTTGGGTGTGCGGACTGGGTCGTTGAGGTCTCCGCCTTCGACTGCTGCCCAGTCCTCTCTGCACCACGCCACCATGGACCCCTCTGCGGATGGTGGGCCCACAGGAGGGCTTGCCCACGTCGTCCTTTCGGGCCGAGCCCGGCC